AAGGACCGGGGTGGGGAAAGAGGGCAGGCAGCAGCATTGCATATATGGCGTTAGGGTTGCATGGCAATGAAGATGCAATTCAAAGGTGATTAATACAAAATGCATAATTTTTGAAGAAAAGAATGAAGGAAAGGTGGTGCAGAATAAAAAGAACGAAAGGTTATATGTTAGTACTTTCAAATCAGACATTATATGTGCAGTTAAAGCTGTTAAGCTTAACAAGATCATTGTAACCATAGCATTTCACAGAAATTGTTTACAATCACGTTTTAAGAAAAAGTACCCATAGATTTTATGTTACAGTCTGACAAAAACCTTGAGCCTGTGAATCAAATGGTAAATGCATCTCTGTGAAGTTTCAGCGTTCTAAATTAAGTAGTTTGGAAAAGAAGAACTCAGTTATTTTTGCAACTGTTAAATGTATATGTACATATAAATAAATTGTTACACTAACTTCCCAGCTAATTTCAAGAGGTAGCAAATACAGGAATTCTCATTTACTCCCCTGAATTCTTGTCCTGTTGAAATATGTCTTGTAAGAACGTGCAGTAGAGATGTTTTCCTTTTGCTTTAATCACTTCATAGTTTATGCAGCACTACTTAGGTTTCTTGCTAATTCCCACAACGTTAAGACCAAGTTTACAACAGGCTCTAGGAAAGTTCTGGCAGACTTTCCAGTAGTAGAGATGTGCAACACCTCCAAAGGAGGATCCAGAGTCTGTACCACAAACCCTGGCAGACCTGCTCTGTATACAGCATTATAACAAGCACAAAATCACTGATAATGCAACTGGGCTCGCTACAGCACACCAGACTTCATCTGTCCAGGGAGGCTGCAACAACACAGCCTCTCCATCCTTTCTGCCTTCTGTCTTCCTACTAGTCATGACAACACCTCCTTTTCTCCCCTCAAATCCTCCAGTGGACCTTCTCATTCTTTCCCTCCCATATCTTACTTCATGCTTGTCTTCTGATCTGATTGTGGAAAAGCTTTCCTCAAATCTCCACTCCATGGTGTTTCAGAAATGAACAATGACATCCTTAAAATATCTCATCCCTGTTCATCTTTTCCACACCATTCATCCTTTCAAAGCTTTCTACTGGCTTGCAACCTTTCATCACGTAATTTGCATCTCACCTTCCTTACCCTTCACAAAGATGTCACTCCTTAAAGAGTTCTTCCTGTATCTGATCCCAGTTCTCTACCATTTCTACCACCAAAATGAGTTCTTTCCTCACTTCCTGCTTTTCTGTGTACGTACTTCCATGTCTCATTTACTGCACACACAAGTCACATCCATTCTCCTCAAACTAAACTGGAGATTACATGCTACCTCTGCTCTGAACGCTAAACTCTAAGCCTGAATCAACTGAAAACCACTACATAGATCAAAAAACTGCAAAAACTCATAACAGAAGATAGTCCAAGGTAAAGCCCAGTTCTCAATTTATGTAATTCCAAATTAGCAACAGGGAACTTAATTGCGTACTTTCTCCTTCTCTCAAAACTCCGGAATCCGCATTAACAAGATGATAATTGAGACAATGTTGTATAAAATTTCACCTTAGACTTTCCTCCACATTTACCTGTTCAAGAGTTCTCCCTTTTCAGATATGCACTTTTTAAAAGCCTCTTTATTGCTTCTGACTACAGAGACAATAGGTCAGCCAAACCTGAATAACAACAGCACCACTCAAACTCCACGCAGAATTCAACATGAGGTAACAGAACACTGATCTCTGGAAAATAATAAGCAGCCTTTAATTATACTGGCAACTAGGATTCAGATGATTTTCCAAGGTACACAGATAATGTATTAGGAACAAGATGTTTATATCTCATTTTAATGATTACAGCAAGGACTTTGCAAAACTCCATTTCTACAATTGGTATCACTTGATATTTTAATTAATTCATGAATCAAGTGCAGAAGATTTAAGTTTAGTAGCTATTTTGAGTGGCTCCATTTCAGAGCAAAAGCACATCCCAAGAACAAAACTTCTAATTGAATTTATAATTATTTATTCCTTTCAAGAATGATTTTTAAGGTTTTCAACTGAATATGAATTTGAGAAGCCCATTCACTGTAAAATATTTATAAGGATAAAATTATCTGATTTTTTTTTTTTTTTTTTAAAGATCTTATTACTTTCTGAGTAAACAACCGATCCTTAAAAAGACTCCATCAAGAAGTCAAACACTATTATCTTTCAAAACATTTTCTTTGGATACCAAGTCAACCATCAGATATGAATTTTCCCAGTATTTTGGCTAGCTTTGAAATAAGAGATCTTCAGTCCTGTAAACATGCCAGAATGTACTAGTACAGCACATACTAACACAGAAGCTTAAGCCACAGTGGTTTATCTTCTGGAAGCACTTTACTTTGTGCGTGTGATTCTATTTTTATTTTAATTTTTTTTTTTTTTTTAAGCATAACCAGAAATCTAGAATATTTTACTTTCAGATTTGGAAGAGACATAAGTCAAGTCATTAAGAAACAATGAGGGAAACAAAATCAAATAGAAAGCAACATTCATTAAAAATAGATGAAAACAAACTGAAAATAAGCTCTCCAATTTCAGAAAGGTATGTTTGCATACATTTTCATGGAAAAACTGTTTCCAATGACCTCTACTAAATTTTTGCCCAAGGTAATGAAGAACTTGAATGAAAAAGTTATAAAGTTAAACTATATACTAAGCTGAAAAACTTTTCTGGATCACAGAACTGCTGGAACTCAGCTCAGCTTTGGGGCACTGAAGCAGTATGTAGTTAAGAAGCGCGAATTAAGACAGTGAGAGAATGGTTCAAACTCACTCAAGACTTGTACAAAAAGCTGTAACAGAAGGACAGTGAAGGAACTAGTTGTGGCAAACTGGAAGGAAAGATGTGCAGGATTCACAAATGTGCCAGTATCTTGAGCTACAAACTACTTCTATCTGTATTTTTTTCTTAGGCGCTGGCAAAACAAATTTAAATACTATTTCTACTGCAGTTACAGAGCAGCAAGATGGAAGGAAACAATATGCAGCATCCCTGCTCCATTGTAAGGTTTTATTTTGTCACACTGTGTTACATAGCTAATGTACTGCTGTTTTACCTGATGCTGGACTTCAGGTTTTGCTATTATCAAATTCAACTGCCTAACTGCAGTACAAAACTAAGGCAACACCACTGAAACTGCAAGCAATGAGGTAAAAGACTGCAGAAATGGCTCTCAGCTGGTGGTTCTGTAGTGTACGATAATGGAAAGGAAAACAAATTCAGATAAATGGGTTTTCTATATCCCACAGCTGTGGCCAAACAACATTATAGTATTGGCATAGTCAGTGATTCAAATATATACATTTGTATTGGTACAAAGCAGCAAAACAGCAGATTATAATCAACTGACATTAGTATTCAATGAGGTTACACTATTTCAGTATACATGGGGGAAGTGGAGGAGTTGTGCAGGTCTGGATCTCCCATCACTAGTCTTGTAGGAACGTTGCAGAACACTGCAATCCCTGCAATCCAATCCTTCTGGAAACTCTCTAAGAAAGATTAGCTATGCTAATTAGCTATGCTTTTGGAAAGTGTCTTTTTCTCTTTATGTATTACTGTCATTGGATATAGAATGTCTTGAGACAACTGGCATGCCAAGACTAGGAAACGTGTGTTAAACTAACTTGAATCCAAAATCACAGTCTTGCATTCATTCAGTTCTCCTACAATACTGCTTCCAGTTCCTGGCAGCAGATTTCACTGGCAGTTCAGCAGAGCACAGCCTACCTCCTATGAAAGTCTGTATTCTGACATTGTCTTTGCATGTCTCTCTCCTAGCAGTTGCCACTGGACTGAACAACATTACTCAAATTATGTTTTTTCAAATCCTGAAAGGTCCCATTTGCTCATCATTTGATCCATTACTTTGTACATTAAGAAATAATTCTTCTTCTGAAGCATCAGGAACAAAATAATAGTCAGAGTTTAGCAACAAACTATGAAATTGAAATGAACAGATCTGCCCAACTTCTATATCATAACATTGCAGGAAATTTAAAACGCTTTCTTTATGAAACAAGGTTTGTTCAATAACACTTTCTTTGCTCTACAAACCTTCTTAAAAACAAATCTATGGGTACAATTTCCTAAAATACATTCAAATATGAAACTGCTGCCATTATTGCCAAGATATTTTGTTATGGAAGCTACAAGCTTATAGTGGTTTACCAGCAATTGACTAAAAGCATTTGTGGTAAATGTGAGAAAACAGAATTATAGCCATCGAATGCTGAAGCATACCTAAAATATTAAGGTTATTCTTTAGAGGTGATGTGACTTAACAGCACTGACAATCAATGCTGACCACCTTAGTCCAGAGAAGATAAGAACAGAGTTTACCTGTAACTTATCCTGCTTTCAAGGGAAGCCCTCAAATACATTACAGTTTATTTCGTTGACTTCCTCCCACTTTTTTCCCTCCCCTCCAATAAAGTGCTGCATGTTAATGAAGGTAATACAGATTTGGCACATTGCAAATTCGTTAAACTCAGCTGCAGGCTGAAGAAAACATCTCATCTTCCTCAAACCACTTCTCCTTGCACAATTATAACTACTGAGACTCATGCATAAGCATTTTCTAAACAAATCTGATTATTCACATATTATTTACCAACACATTTTATCATCCTGTATACTTACACATGTATATTACTTATATGTATATTATACATGTGTATTAGCATGTGCTTAATTTTAAATATGTGTGTGTGTATAATTAATAAAACACCTGATTTATCAGTAAGGGGTAAAAACTAATGCACATAAAATACATTAAACAGAGGTATTACAAATTTGATCTCAAGTCAAGCATATAGACAATGTTCTAGCCTTCGGAATACAGAAAGTGTTTTCATCACTGAATTGTAAGAGAAAATGAAAATACAGATATCTATTAATAGCACAGATGTGAAAAAGTACAAAAATTGATTGATGTTCTTTCCTACAATACCTGATCGTGGCTTCAGGCCAAAAGGGATTGTGTTGTTTGTAGTAGGAGACAGTGTTGGACTTTTATCTTTGTTCTGTGTAATTTAAGAACATAAATTCAAATAAGAGCAGCGTCCAGAATATCACAGGGAAACTGACTGAATAAAATACAAAAATTAGCAATACTGCATGCTACAACTATTTCACCACAATCTCATCACATAGCTTTGAACTTGTAACAATCTCTCGGTTTTATTCAATACCACTCCTTTACTGGAAAAAAACTTTCTGACTGAAGTCTGCAGCACATTGGCCCTAGCTATAAGTGTGATTGTTTCTCAGTTTTCTCCCACAAAACCATTTGGCTCCGTTCAACATACACTTTTGTGGCAGAGTACATTTAGAAGAACAAAACAGAGACAATTTTTTTTCCTTAGATGTGTTTCTTACACTGAATCAGAATTACCATTCTGCTTAACTATTTCTCCTGAATTCTGCCTAAAATGCAGAAAGGTGGAAGTTAATCATAGACCTCACAGTAGAACCATGATGGTTATACCATGATAAGAAAGGAGAAGTCTTATAACCAACCTCCAGAAAACAAGTCCTATTTAAAAAACGATTCATGAGAATGGAATCTGTGGGAGTACCATCACCAACACCGGGTGCTCACGAGTCTGTGAGGTGCTCATATACAGTGTAAAGTAGAGGAAGAAACACTGGTTTTGCACAGAAAGTAGGAAGGTTCCATAAAGAGCCCACTGACCATCCACATGCTGAAGACAAACAAAATGCACTATCATCTTACCTCATTGTGAGAGGGTTGGCCACTTGTATTCCAAACAATTACATCATTCTGCACGATTGACAGAAAGAAAAAAGAAAGATCTTTTCAGCAAATGCATTGGTCATACACAGTCATACAGTATTCTAATCACGGCAGTCAGAGACTCATTAATATTCAATACTTTTCATCTTTACATTTTTCAGCATTGTATTGGTTTTGTTTTCTTTACCACAACTTTCACGATTTATATAAACTTTGATGCTAGACTAACTGAAATACCACTTAAAAATTCTCCCGTGGAAATTATTTGCACAAATTTGTCTTTAATTTCTTATCTGCAGCCTCTCAACTGATTCATAAGTGTGTTTGTAAGACTTGAATCTTTGTTCATTCAAGTGCATTATCTAACCTTGTTTCACAGATTTTAACTGTTACCAGGAGTTTAATAGGGGAGTAAAAATTTTAAATATAGGTTTGAAGAGAGAAGCATTCTGCAAGCAATTCCTTTTGTAATTGCCATATAACACACCTTTTGTTACCATTTTTGCTATAGCTAACCTGGAAACACGGAAATCATGTCAATAAAATATCAAACGATTGTTAATTCTGTATAAGTCATAACTCAGTAGAAATAGGATTGGCGTAGGTAAAATAGATTATAAATTCATTTAAAACCCTTTCATTAGGGCAAATTTTTTAATGGAGAAAAACGTGGAGATTAAAAATACAGCCCTCAAGATATTGGTCCCAGCACCCTAAGAATTTTCTGGAAGTTACTAAGATGGGAAGGAAGATTACACACGCATTTTGATAAATGACCTTTCCTGGCCACTACTTTAGCTTGAAAAATAAAATATGATCCTCAGCTACCAACTTCTTTCATAATCTTACCTCATCAACTGTATTACCTAGAATTAATAGAAGGAAATTTTAGTAATCTCATCCCTGCCAATTTCTACCTGGAGATTAGCATGTTTAAGCACTCCTATGCTCAGCGGTTGTCCTTGTGACAGACAAGCTAGTTAAATCTACACTGCAGGTCAAAACTCTCTCACAACACACAAGTCAACAGTCAGAGCTCCAAATTTACATTCAACCTGAAAACTACAAGTGCTTACTGTATGCAGAATGATTAAATTTGCTCTTGCAAGACACATTTCTACTGAATGGAACATATCTTGTGCTTCCACCTGCATGCAGGACTAGATTAGGCCCTCTACAAGTTTTTAGGAAATTTCCTCATTTAAAAGGTTCTTAAAATGAATCAGCAGCATTCTTGTTGAAGAGATTTATTAAAATACAGAATGTGCACGTTGTGCATTCTGACATCAAATTAACTTTTTGTGTAACTCATTAGCAATGCAGTTAAGAATCAATCCCAAATAAAGTATGTTCACTCCCATGTACAATACAAGAAAACTGTGGAGATACAAACTTTCCTTCTTTAAAAAAAAAACAAAAAAAAACCAAAAGATAAAATTGAGTCACAAAGAGATCACAGGAGTATTTGCTAGTAATGATATTTGAAAAGCATGAAGATATACCAGTAGGTTTATGTCTGCATAAGATACACTGTACTAAAGTATTGTGAATGCAGGCAGAACTTTCACAGGTCATTTTGTTCTCAGAATTCTCTTGCAAGAACATTCACAAACAACTAAGTCCTGAGGTAAGAAAGTATGAACCAAATATTTAAGCTTGAATTTTTCACAGTTCTTCATTTCTGGATCACTGAAATACAATACTGACAATATTTTTGATACTTTAGAAGTATCATCTCAACACACAGAGTCTTCTTTGTAATACAAAGCACGTTAAATTCATTGCTGCATACAAAACCTTAACTGCATGAGCTGCGGTATTTGGATTAAGGGTGGGAAGAGAAACCAGATCACTGAAGATCCAACTCTGATAATACTTATTTTTGCTAATAATGTTTATTAGAAGAAAATACATCAATTTCAGCCTTTTCCTTGATAGGTCTTAATTAACATCCCATTTATATTCAGGTAAGGGAAAAACATAAATAAACAAAAAAAAGAAATACCACCACCAAAAATCTGAAAGGGCTTTAACTTCCCTACCAGTGAATGGAAGACAGTGACTCATTCCAAATGTTTCCATATTTATTGTATCTAGACACCTACGTACCTGATTCAATGACCATTTTTCACCCTGTTCACATGTTTTCATTTCATTCTTGGCTTTCTCCATAATTAATTCCCTCCTCCTATGAAATTCTAGTTCCTCTTCAGCATTTTCCTTCTGAAAGATATATTACTCTTTAGACTGTGAATCACTGGGAATAGAATTGTATCTTTTTTTACATAACATTTTTATATCAGAAGTATTTCCAACAAGTACTGTGATGAAAAGCAAACTGTAAAGTAAGCAGACACTACATCATTGCAGTTCCAGTGCTAAAAGATGGTCGTTATGTCAATCTAAATAAACTTGGAGTATACTGAAAGGATTTAAAGAACAAAGCTAATATGAGGCATACTCAACATGGTCTCATGAAGGGAAAGTCCTGCCTTGATAATTTGATCTCCTTCCATAAGATCACCTGCTAGGTGAACAAAGGGAAGGCAGCAGATGTAGTCTCCCTGTATTTCACTAAGGCTTTTGATACCACTCCTGACAGTGCATCCTTCTGGACATGTTGACCAACTTTGAGATAAAGAGGTTCATGCTATGCTAGGCAATGAAATGGCTCAGAGGGTTGTAGTAAGTGGAGGGCTACAACTGGCTAGCAGAAATCACTGGTGGTGTTTTCTAGGGCTCAATCCTAGGGCCATTCCTGTTCAATGTTTTTACCAACGATCTGAATGCAGGATTGGAATGCATCCTCATCGAGATGATTAGTGATGCTGTACTGGGAGGTGCTGTTGTCCAAGATAGATATGAGGCCTTGCAGTGATTTAGATGGATCAGACCATTGGGCAATCATCAACGCCATGAAGTTCAACAAAGGTAAATGCCAGTTTCTGCATCTGGGACAGAGCAATGTTAGACACAGCTACAGACTGGGAGACATATGGCTGGAAAGCAGCCCTGCAGAAAGGATCTGGGACTGGTGGCAACAGCAGGCTCACCTTGAGCCACCAGTGTGCCCTGGAAGCCAAGTGGGCTCTGTAATATGGAAAGGATGCTAAGATTCTTGAGAGCATCTGGATGAGGGTGACAAAGCTAGAAAAGAGCTAGAGGGTTTGTCCTATTAGAAGGAATTGAGGTCGCGTTGTCCAGTCTGGAGAATAGAAGACCAAGAAGTGATCTCATTGCACTGTGCAGTTCTCTGAGGAGGGGAATTGGAGAAGTGGTGCCAGGCTCTGCTCTTGTGAACCTATGGCAGGAGCCATGGAACAGCACAAAGCTGTGCTAGGGAGCTTCAGACTGGATATTAGAAAAAATCATTTACTTATGAGAAACATAAAAAACTGGAACCGGCTTCCAAGAGAGGCAGTTGATGTCCCACGCTTGGCCTCGGTCAAGAGACATTTGGACACTGCTTCGTTCATATGCTTTAACTTTTGGGTAGCCTCAAAAGAAAAGGCAGTTTGACTAGATGATATTTCTAGGTCCCTTCCAACTGAACTATTGCATTCTATAAAGAATACTAATTTGCCAGTCAAGATACATTTCAAATAACAAGCAATACATAACATACTATAAATTCCAAATCATACTTCATATACTCCTTCCATAACTGGTGACAGCGCATTAGGAAAAGTGTAATCATTAATTTACAAAATATTTTGGAGTTATCCTTAATGAATACTGCTTCCTTACACTAGAATAGGGATATTGGAAGAGAACAAGAATACACATAGCTGAGCTGCGAACAGTAGCAATTGATTCTCATAGCCAACACAACACATGAAAAAGATGGCTGTATGGAAAGATGACTATCTTCCTACAAACTGAGTGGAAAAAAAGGAAAAAAATAACATGCAAAAGTAACTGATAAACCCAGAAAATGAAGTTATTTGTGCGTGTGTGTATATGTATGTCTATACACACACATATATTATATCCATAAATATATATATAAATAAATATATAGTTTCTCTCTATATATACACATATATAAACAACAATTACATTTAAATTTTGAAGAACTAGTTGTGTCCTCCAGTCTACCATAGTTTTCCTTTACTTACTCGGTAGATTAAAAATAGATGAAATAATTGGCTCGTTTCCTGTCTTACCCCTCAAATATCTTATAATATGTTCATTAACATACCTGGCCAAGGGAGGACATCTCCATCTGCATTTGACTGCTATGTATAAAAAAACAAATGCGAATATGTAATTTATTTTGTAGAAACTCAAGATTCTAACAAATGCTTTTTTTTTTTTTTTAGAAAAAAAAAAAGTAGATAAACACACTTTACTGTAGATTCCTGAAATTCTAAAGCTGCTGCTGGTTCCATGGGATACAGATTCACATCACTGCTTTCTGAAATATCCATGCTTAATCTGTAAGGTTTGAAATAAAAACATGGCACTGGGGTATAGAGTTGATAATCATTATGTTCAGTATTCAGTTTCAAACAAATGGATATATAAAATATTTTTAATCGTGGTATCAATCTGCTCTATTTTATTTCTTATAGAAGTGTCACCACCTTGGTCAAACCAACATTAACATCTGCAAAGTACCACTCTAAGCAATAAGTTGTATCAAAACAAAGGGATCTGTTTACTATTAACAGTCACATGACATTATATATAACACTGAAGACATCTATATTCAACCTCTAGCATTCTGTGTTTTAACAAGATCCAAAACCCTGGTTAAATATCCAAATTTAATTTACAATGCATGAAAATAAAGCAGATCAGCAACACACTCCCAGTAGCCAACAATTTGAAATTAAGCTATGAAGACAGGAAAGAGAGTAAAGCAAGAAAATACTGGAATAGATTGAGCCTGAAATCCTTTTCCATACCTGAACTGAATTGCTGTTAACGTGCACAGAAGATGTGCAGAACATTAAATTGTCAAGTCATTGTGGTCCTATTCCACAATTTAGTCATGTTTGTAAATGATAATAACACTAATTGATATATTCTACATGGAGCTCTAATCAGTGTGTGTGAGGTATGCTTCAGCATCACCTCATGCTTCAGCCTGTTGCTGCAAGCAACGATGAGGCATCCACAACAGAATGCAAAATCAAGCTTCATTTGATATGTACCAGACACCCAGGAGTGTCATGCTGGACAAATCTGTTTGTTAGCATAAAACAAACAGACATTTGAATGGCCTGTTTAGCACTCAACAAAGCAAAAATAAATACATGCATGACATATTTATAGTCATCTTTAAAAGCTGTATTTCATATACTATTGTGCTATTGAAAACACAACTAAACACGCATGGAGAAATGGAGACTGTCTGTATTTCACTGCCTTTTGAAATTTCGTAAGCAAAAAAACCATAGGAAATGTCAAAGCATTATCTGACTAACAAAAAAGCAACAAATTTTGTAAGGCTGAGAGATTTTTTACTGCCACTTTCCTTCTAACCAGACTATTTTTCAATCTTATCTGCAACACTTCTGCTAACTAATAAGTTACAGATGAGATACAGAAGCAACAGAATTTTATCTCACAGAAACCACAGGACTGCTCTTCATTTAAATGTTTTTTGTTTTTTTTTTGTTAACTATTTAGTACTCAGTTCAAGAATTCAACTATTCTCTGTATGATTCAAAATAAAGCCAGATAATTCCTTTGCCAGAAAAAGTGATATGAGTGAACTTCAGTCCTAAAAAGCAGAAAGATATGCTAAGTGAAAAAACAATATCAAAACAGACTTTTAAGCTACAGAGCAGTGTAGTCATAAGAAGAAATGGCTATATGAACTGGCCAAGGAAGGAGAAACAAGGACGTTTTAGACTGGGAATGATAAGGAGGTGTCTACTGTTCAGAGAATTAAAGCTCCAGAAAGCTCTACATCATAGAATCAATGATGAAAAATTAGCTTCTTACTTTTAAAATGAGCTTAATTTTTGAAAGGGATTACACAACGAAAAGCAATAGCAAGCACAGGGACAGAAGTACCTGCAACACCCATCAGTTCTTTCAAGCATGACAAGCTTCTGTTTGTTTTCCTTTTATATATTTAATCCTTTGCTTATTCACAGACCCAGAGTAATTCCACCTGACTTCAGACACTTAAAAGATGCATATAAATTAGACAGCCTTGCCTTCTATAGCCAGGAGAAACACCTTCACTAGTAGCATCTTCCCTTTTCTCCTTTTGACCTCAGAGAAAGACTACCAGAACTTCAGCACTACTTCAAGTATCTTCTTTATGCATCCCAGAAAGATGGGATGAAGCACAGAGAAAACCTTCTCCAATTCCAATTCAAGTATTAACAAGAAGAGGAGTTTGTACAGACTAAAAGAGGTAAGACTATTCTACAGGAAACTCAACAGAAGTTATAAATACATAAGATGCCTGCTATTTTAAGCATACCTGTTGGGATCTTGTAACAAATCTACTGCTTCTCTTAGTTGTTCTATCATTTCTATATCAATAGTTTGTTCTTCTGACATATTTATTCTATAATAGAAAAAAAAAGCATTCAAAAAAAGAAAAAAAAAAGAGGTAAAACAGCAATTATCAGGGGTTGTCTCAATTTCAATTTGTGAACTCTACCTTCTAACTAAGCATGCAGCTAATACAGAGGGAAGGTAAAAACAGCCTCTGTGCAAACTAATAAGTGCTGAAATTTATGTAAAGAGTGTCTTCAGAAAAAAATCACCAGCACCTTGCCTTCAACAAAACTTCCCAAACTAATACACACATACGAAAAAAAATGTAATGAACTAAGAAACTAGGATCTTTGCATATCCATTAAACAGACCAACTTCAAAAGCTGACTCCTGTTAACCACATTCACCACATACATTATTACAGAATGTGACAATTCTTTTTAATGGACCACAGCATGCTTTCTTTTGCTTTTCAAGATTTGGTTGTTGTTGCTGTTGGTTGTTTTTTCTTTTTTTTCTTTTTTAATTTATTAAAAAAATCATCTGGTAGTTCTGCCAACAGTGTTCTTTTGGAACATGCTTATTTTTCCCTCTTTTCAATTTTTATTTCTAATCACATAGGACTCCACTGTTCTGAGGTGAGAACTTCACAGTGCACTGTCATGCTAGAGCTGTTTTTCTTATGAACACTCTTCACTGACTGAGGTTCACTTACACTGCACTTGAGCTAATACCTATGAACTATTGATCGTTTCAGGGTTAAAATTATGACAAAGCAAGAAAAAAATTTTGAAAAGAAATCCTGTGCATTAGATTTTACAAGTTAAATTTAATTTTTAAAAACAATAGCATAAGCAGACTACATATGAAAATACCTCATTTTAAAATCCGGGCTCTACATTGGCTAAAAAATGCCAAATTACAGCTTTATTAGCACATACACATTAGTTGCAAGCTAAGACCCACTTGATTAATCAATAACATACAACACACCACATTCACGCACAGAAAGCTGCACTGCTGTATGCTTTTACGTCTACAAAATTCTTAACTGAGAATAAAACACCAGATTTGGTCATCTAATGAAATGATGCAGTTAATTACTTACAGACAAAGCAATACTTACATTTCTTCTGTTTGCCATTGTGCGTCCTCTTCAATTCTCAGTAATTCATCACACTCTGCTGCTCTGCTCTGTAAGCAGACAAAGTGATATTAAGAATTGAACTTTGCAATTAAGCAAGCAGATAAGTTTTCCTTTCAGACTCAGCAGTGACCTATTTTATTTAACAGTTTAGGGTGGCTTCATATCTCACTCTATCCCCTTTTAAGATACTCATTACATGATCTTATTTTCATTGTTGAGATTTTATTGAGGTCAACAGTCCTTACCCTCCTTTAACTGTAAAAAGAAAGTCAAGTAGCATGAGAATTCTTCATTCTATGCCCCAGATTTCATTTGTGCCTTTCTCGTGTACGCCAACAATGGTTCAATTGAGTGCGACTCTAGCTCTCATCTTATTTACTCTCCTCCCACATAAAGCTACATTTACAGAGCAAGGAAATTCCAAATAGACAAACTAACAATTATGCACTTAATCCATAACTATTAATAGGATTCCTACTTGGTAATTTTAACAGCTCTGTTTAAAAAAATCAAATCAAATCAAAACAAAACTGACATGCTACAGTTCAAATCAGTTGGCCTGTTATTTGGGATTCAGTGTAGGAATAAATCACAGCCTCCATTCTATTCATAACTGTGAAATGCTACATGTTAGAAAATTGAAGTCCCTTACTTATGCTTTCATTTACAATCTTAACAAGAAAGAAACTTTGAAAATTTCTCTTTCTTGGATGAATTACTGAAATAATTCAGCTGTCACTAAAGACAGAAGCTCTATGAGTAGAAGTGTAGTAGTTATAGAAATAGAGAATAAACAGCAGAAAACAAGCCTATCCTTCTTTTGTGTCATGGGCTTGGCACATCTGTCGCATCAGCCTGTACCAATAAACACTATCCAGTTCTGACAGATGTGTCACTGAAGGGTATACCAGCTCCTTTAACATTCCCCAAGGATGACACATTTTCCAGTAACAATCCTTAGTAGAACAAATAAAGCCATTCTTCACTCTTTTTTTTCAAGTTACTGATATAGAAATGAATCATATGATTTTTCCCATAACAAGGACACATTAAAAAAACTAGCAATTTTTTTAGAAGGCAAATCTCAGCCTCTGGCATATTTATATAAATAGATATTGCCTTAAAAATCAGGAATAACTTATGAAAACCACAGATTTACCAAGCCTGAACTCTTCTCCACTGCCTCTGGTATTGATTTAACGTATTCACAGAATCACAGAATGGCCAGGGTTGGAAGGGACCTCAAAGATCGTGAAGCTCCAACCACCTGCCACATGCAGGGCCACCAACCTCCACATTTAATACCAGACCAGGCTGCCCAGGGCCCTATCCAACCTGGCCTTGAACACCTCCAGGGACGGGGCATCCACAGCTTCTCTGGGCAGCCTGTTCCAGCACCTCACCACTCTCTCTGTAAAGAATTTCCCCCTGACATCCAACCTCAATCTTCCCTCCCTCAACTTAAAACCATTTCCCCTTGTCCTGCTGTTATCTACCCTTTCAAAGAGTTGATTCCCCTCCTGTTTGTAGGCTCCCTTTAGGTACTGAAAGGCTGCAATGAGGTCACCCTGTGGCCTTCTTTTCTGCAGGCTGAACAAGCCCAGCTCCCTCAGCCTGTCTTCACAGGGGAGGTGCTCCAGTCCCCTGATCACCTTCGTGGCTCTCCTGTGGACACTCTCCATCTGCTCCCTGTCTTTCTTGTACTGGAGGCTCCAGTCCTGGACACAGTACTCCAGATGGGGCCTCACAAGAGCAGAGTAGAGAGGGACAATCGCCTCTCTCCCCCTGCTGGCCACCCCTCTTCTGATGGAGCCCAGGATACCATTTGCTTTGCTATTTTTTTGTTAACCAGAAATTCAGTTTCAGAAGTCTCAAAATGCATGCTAGTACATGAGCACATATAAACCAAAGAATTGACTCAAATCTCCAAAAGAAAATGCCTGAGGTTCAAAATCCTCTGGAAAAAAAAAAAAAAATGCACTTATCTGTTCAAGTCATCAACTACTGCTCTCAACTGCCATAATGTTAAGAAGATAACAGAAAAAATCCAAGAGCTTGCTTTGGCAATATTGTCATACTGACATTCAATACAGTAGCTTCCCTTACTGAACCACTGTCCGCTACACATTATTTCATATCATACTATTTTATTACATGACAGAGGTTATTCCCAAGGGAACAGTATTTGCTAAGGAAAATCAAGATGATGAACGTACAAGAACAAGCAAATAACAAGCACATACAGAATATAATCAGTCAACTTCAGATGTCCGTACTTCTACCTTTGCAAAAGAAGATAAAAACATTCTAATCCCCTTCTGTCTAGTTTATTCACCTCAAATGTGCACATTTGTTGAAAATCTTTATGCAGAAAACTTACGTGTTAACCTTTTTACAGCAAGCTTTTAGTAAAGAAATCACTAAAGAACAAGCCAATAGAAGGTAACTCATTATATCCTAAACACTCAGCATAAATAATTCTTACAGTCAGTGAAGTTTTAGACAATAAATCATTATGTTTTTAATAATAAATAAATCTTTTAGCAGTTCTTGCTACATAATAAAGTATATTTCTTGAGTTCCCACACAGTGGTAATCACTACTGATTCACTGTTCATTTCTATGGGTCTTATTTTAGCTTTGCATTACATCAATTATAATTTTAAATCTATTTTTGCATTCTGCATCTTTTATGACAATGAATATTAACTGTGGTGTTTTATACATTAAAATGTCTGCAGTTCCTCACTCCTGATTGCTCTACGCTTAGGAAAGCAGTGAAAATATTTTCTGCCACTAAGAACTGAACACACACTCGCCTTAATGTAGCTCATGAATTCTGTAGTAAGAGCATCTGATTCATCAAGCCGGATTCCTGTCTCTCTTGATTTATCATTGACAATCAAGTGAGAAGATCCCTGATGGAATTCCACTGAAAACAACAACAAAAGAAGACAAAATTATTTCCGGTTCAGCTGAAAATTTGCTACTCACGAGAACACTAAAATTATGAGCTGAAAACCAAATGAACTCAAGTTTAAGTTCAAACCATATTTAAAAACCTCAAAAAAGTGCAGACTGCTGCATTCAAGGGAGAGATGTCCATTCATTGCAATGTTTTAATAAATCAATATCCTTGGCTCAATACAGCTGTAGATCAAAAACAGCACAACAAGCACTGATTGCATCAGTTTTTAACTACATGAAACATGCCTTGCCAGTACTGGTACGAGAACACAGTTGGAAAGCTACAGAATTATTTCAGGACAGTCGTGTCTCAGTCACTGACCAGCAGTTTTTTATGCAACTTAGAAGTTATGATGTGCAACAAACATCCAAAACTCTCAGCAGAACTCGGTCACAATGATTCAGCCTTGCAAACAAGGCAAATCTACTGTTTAACTACACTGTTTCTAGGACTGTATACGCCTTTAATTCTCCTGCTTGAAACAGTTTGATCCCTTAAGCTCTCTGATGGGGTGATAAACATTGCAGGATGCAAGTCTTACTATATCAGTTGCATATTACCACATTCTGATGAGAATCTCAACTGAAATTCATTTAATCCAGCATGAAGCATTCATGAAATGCTGATTTCTATTTCCATGGTGTCCAGCTCACTGATATTATCCTGCAACTTATCATTAGTATGTGCAGATCATGAGGAATCACTTTCATCAGTACGTAAGTAACATTAATGAAGGTATAACTTCAATAAAATATAGATATAACTACACACACTGTCACTCCACTTTTATACACTGCTAATTCAGAATCTGAGCTGGTACTTGACAAAGTTATTAGACACTGAGATTACTGACTTGGAAGCGTGTTTTAAAATCATAGAATGATTTGAGTTGAAAGGGACCTTTAAGATCATCTAGTTCCAACCCCCTGCTATAGGCAGGGACACCTCCCTCTAGACCGGATTGATTCTCACTTTTTTTCCCCTGATGAGAAACAGAATTTATTAACCCTTGAGACAAGGTGCAAGAAGTTCATTGAAACCATCACCAAAAATGACTATACTCAATTCAGTATAGTTTAAAACTGGTGTAAGTAAAACATTTTTCTGTTTTAAATGACTGCACAGGCATACTTGAAAGCCTCTTGGATAAGAAGGCATTTACTACGAAGAAATTAATTGTAAAAATTCTTACTGATTGATTATAATATCAGCAAGAAAAGCAACTTAAGGTATTTATCCAGAGCAAAATCAAACACTGAATATTCCAGTGAAAAACAGTGGTAACCACAATGGTTCTAAGTTAAAGTTCCTGTTTTTAGACAGAAGACTAGAAAGACTAATCAGTACTTGCTGTGCTGTGACATTTTCAGACTCCACTTACAGTCTTATACAGTTATCAACAGAAATTTCCTGTTTTTAACCTCCACAGTTTTGACATTCCAACCTTTTCTTGAGTTGGCATGGTGACCTGAATCTTCCTTTACAACCTGATCTTCTTCCACGATGTCTGACATTGGAACATTAAAGCTGATAGTATCTTCATCAGACGGCTAAGAAGAAGTCAGAGAAACAATATTTTCATGCTAAATCCAAGGTTGATTAAAATACGTGCTTTCACTAAAAAGCTAACAACTTCAGGAACTGCAATAACAGCAGAATAGTTTCTAAGCCTCTTTGAATGGACTGCACGTTCATACAGTTATGTAAAGGCTTTCCCAAATAATTGGCAACCACTGTGTTTATATGTGTTCCTGTATTTAACAGAGTATAACCGGATTCATTTTCTATTTGCTTTGGCAGTATCGCTAATTCAGTATCTAAGCTTGATTCTTTCCAAACAAGTGTCAAAAGCAACAGACTTTTCCTCAAAAAAAGAGAAAAATACATGAAAATTATTGCTTTTTTTTTCTTTTTTTTAAAGTAGGAAGAAAACTATTCTTTTATACTCATTGAGTCAGACCACAAATTCTTTTGATTATACATTTCAGAAAGATTCTTACTGAAGTACAAGTTATTTACTTATTTATAATTATTATGAAGTCCAACTAACTGCTCATTTGAATACCTAAGAAAAGACTTCCCAGGAATTAGTGCTCTGTTCAGCTGAGTAGAGCCTCAGAAAGAAATTCTAGGAAACGTGTAACTGTAGCTATAACTGCTTAGTACAACATCACTCTCAGGAAGTCAACCTTTTTCTTTGCCCACTCACACAAAATAGCTCAAGAAAAATTCAGAAGGCTTATTTCCAGCACTGCCTAACTGCCAGAGAACAGAAAGACACAGCATAGATGCACATGAAGATGTGCAAAAATTCTGAAGCTCTTGCTCTCCAGAAAACTTCCATAACCACAACACCACAGAACATATCAGGACTGAGAATACAAACTCAAGTTAATCTCCTACATGAAAAATTTGGAAGAGGAAACTAGGAGCCAGACGTATAACATTTGTATAACATTTATTTGGTTGGAACGAGTAGACAGCATTCTGGTTTGGACTCCATTTTCTAGATTATCACTTAAAACTGGCTGAAAATTGTACTGAATTTTTTCTACTGGTGTTAGTAATTTGTGATCAAGTATCTCACTGCTATCTCCCAAAAAAATGGATACAAACTGGAAAAAAATCCCAATCTTCTTTTATCTTTGTTTTAAAGTTTTATAAGTGATAAATTCATGCCATTGGATGTGGCTGCACAGTTTTCATAGCTAAAAATGTAGCTATACATATTAAGAAATAAGAGTGTGGAGAAAGGGGCAACTTACCTCTGTTGCTGACAAACGCTTATCACCATTGTCACTACCAACACCTGAATCCGAGTCCTTTTTACTTGGGTAGAGGTCATCAATGCTAGATGTGAACAGAAAACAACTGAAAGGTATCACAGCATGTACAGTTAGAATTCTGTCCCATTTTCACTTTGAGAAAAATTCCAACAATTATCAATGTCAGTGAAGAAATCATAGAATCATAGAATCCTTTGAGTCGGAAGAGACCTCTGAAGGATGTCTAGTCCAATTCCCCTACAGTGAACAGGAACACCACCACTAGATCAGTTTGCCCAGGGCCTGATCCAGCCTCACCTTGAAAGTCTTCAGGGATGGGGCATCAACCACATCACTGGGCAACCTGTTGCGGTGCCTCACCACCCTCACTTTAAAAGACTTTTTCCTTATGTTCAACCTAAATCTGCCCTCTTTAAGCTTGAAGCCATTTCCACTTGTTCTAACACCACAGACCCTGCTAAAGAGTCTGTCCCCTTCTTTACTGTAGCTCCCCTTTAGATACTGAAAGGCCTCACTCAGGTCACCTCACAGCCTTCTCTTCTCCATGCTGAACAGCCCCAGCTCTCTCAGCCCGTCCTCATAAGAGAGGTGTTCCATCCCTTCAATCATTTTTGTGGCCCTCCTCTGGACACACTCCAACAGGTCCATGTCCCTCCTGTGCTGAGGACTCCACATTTGGATGCAGTACTCCAGGTGAGGTCTAACCAGTGCAGAGGGGCAGGATCACCTCCCTCACCCTGCTTGGCCACACTGCTTTGGATGCAGTCCAGGACACGATTGGCCTTCTAGGTTGTGAGAGCATATTGCTGTCTCACGACCAGCTAACCATCTATCAGTACCCCCAGGTCTTTTTCGGCAGGGCTGCACTCAATCCTTTCTTTCCCTGTTTTGTATTGGTAGCAGAGGATGCCTTGAGGCAGGTGCAAGATCTTGCAATTGGCTTTGTTGAACCTCATGAGATTCACCCGGGCTCACTGTTCAAAGCTCTCCAGGTCCCTGTGGATGACATCTCATCCCTCTGGTGTATTGACTGCATCGCACAGCTTGGTGTCATCTGCAAACTTGCTGAGTGTGCACGCGGCCCCACTGTCAACGTCATTGATGAAGACACTAAAGAGTATTGGTCCCAGCACTGACTCCTGCAGGACACTACTCATCACTGATCTCCATCCAGACATTCAGCAATTGACCGCCACTCTCTGGACTTGATCCACTGCAAGCAAGTTCTTTGTCTATCAAACAGCCTACCCATCAAATCCACACATTCCCAATCTGGAGAGCTGAATGTTGTGGGGTGCCATTTCAAAGGCCTTACTGAAGTTGAGATAGATGATATCAAGGGCTCCAACCTTGTCCACTGATGCAGTGACACCATTGTAAAAAGCCTCTAGGTTGGTCAAACAGAATTTGCCCTCAGTGAAGACATGCTGGTTTTCTTGTATCACCTCCCTGCCTTTCATGTGCCTTAGCACAGCTTCCAGGAGGATCTACTCCATGATCTTTCAGGGCAGAGGTGAGACTGACAGGTCTGTAGTTCCCAGTCATCCTTTTTCCCTTCTTAAAAATGAATGTGATGCTGCCTTTTTTCCAGTCACCATCAGGGTCTTCATCTGATTGCCATAACTTTTCAAATATCATGGAGAGTGGCTCGGCAACTACATCAGCTAATTCCCTCAGGACTCTAGAATGCATTTCATCAGGACCCACAAACTAGCTTAGTATGGATACAAACTACACATCTGCAGTCTGCTGGTAGTAAAGTAGGATGATGGAATGGTTCATTAGCTTATGGATTAATGAAAACAACAGAATAATCCATCATAAAGGTCGTTGCTTTTGTCTGTGCGCTGGACAAAAATATTTAGCTAATAGCCAAGTAGCACAGGATTCTGACTGAAGTAATTTAGCCATGTCACAGAAAACTACACTAGCTGAACTCAAACTGGAGTCAACTAATTTAAAAGTAACCATCAATCCATTAAAAACGAACTGTTAACTCCCTAGAGCTTGGAGTAATTATTAACATAGAAACCTCCTTTGGAGGCTTTAAAATAGATTTTGAAGTTTAATATTTCCAGAAAATGACTATAATAATTGCAACTGCCATCTCTTCAGGATTTTTATTATTGACTAATATGACCTCCGCTCATTTTAAAGTACACCAATAGATGAATACACTCATCAGTTAACTATTTTTTTTTTCCTTTACTTCCTTCTCATTTGCAATTCTGAATGTTGCAAACCTAAATTGAGATTAACACAGCGATTTTGAAAAGTACTTTAACAATCTTCACATTTGATTTGATTCCGCTTAATCTCTGATTATCTGTTATTAGTAAACTCAAAAGATTGGAGACATTCAATAACCATCTGGATGTAAACCTCCAGCTGTTCTTGCTTGGGGCAGGGTGGGTGGGCAGATAGATATAGGGGGAAGGGTGATGTGTTAGACTATTTGAATCTAAGTATACTGTGATTTTTATCAGTACTATGGAAATCTTAACCAGGTTGTTTTTTTCCTTTTGAAGTGTGAAATAATTCTCTAAAGCAAAGGATCATATTTTCCAACTAAACAAAATATACACACATTCAAATCATTAACTGAATAAAATATATCATAAGAAAATTAAAGGTTAAACAGTAAGAATACATCCTCAAGCATCTATTTTAGCTTCAATACTTTCTCTGTGACAGAACACTGAACTGCTAGTTATCAGCTGGTATCCTCTCTGTACTAGCCCTTTACCAGAATATTGACAGGGAGACTCTAAAGCAGCTTTTTTTTTTTATCCCTCAGAGTGCTAGCAACATCTCTGTATTTTCATCAACATTTTGTTTTTACTGGGCATCCCCATAATTTTTCCATGGTTGTTTAATATAAACTTCTCACACTGGCAAAGAAAGAGCTGGCTATGATTTGATTTCCAATTAGCTTCAAAGATTCCCATAAAAAGGATCTCCCTCTCTTGGTCTAAGAAATTGAAGACACTGTCTTTCATTTTGCCAAATAAATTATTAATAAAATTTAATTTCACTTCAAAAGAATATCAACACCCATTCAATTCTCTTTGTTGGATGCATTAGATTAGATGTTAGGAGGAATTTATTTACCCAGAGGTGAGTGAGGCACTGGCACAGCTGCCCAGAGAAGCTGTGGGTGCTTCACCCCTGGAGGCATTCAAGTCCAGATTGGATGGAGTTTTGGGCAACCCCATCTAGTGGGTGGTAACCATACCTACTGTGGAGGAGTTGGAATTGGATGGCTAAGATCCCTTCTAACTCAAGACATTCTGTGATTCTATGAAGAAAAAAAGCTCAACAGAATTACACAACTCTAATAACACATATCACAAAATGAAGCAAGAAGTGAATTTCTTTTTAGTATATTAATAGATTTACAATGAAGATCCAACACCAGGTTATACTACCTTCTTAATTACTTTCAATATATTCCAGTAGTATACTAGCAGAAGGTTAAATTTAAGCAATGGCTTACTTCCAAGCTCTTTCCTAACACGCTGCTGACTTTAATCAGAATCAGTTGTTAAAAATACTTTATTTTATTCTAAATCCTTCTAAGGGTTTCATAAGAATAAAATAAAGCAAAAGAAAGTTCTGCTTGGAAAAGAGCTGTCTAAATGGAACCTAAACAACAAAAACTGTAGAAGCTAAGGATAAAACCATTTTTCACTTTGTTCCAAGATAATAAATATTACACGCAAAAAATAAGATTGATCTTTATTCGTACCTTTCTTCCACAGGTTGTGGCAAATGTGGCTGTTCTATGGCATTAAGATACAGTGAGTCTGCTGTTTTAATCTGACAGGCCTGTACTGTCAGATATTTGAATATATGCACCTTCCCCTTTGTACAAATCTGTTAGGAAAAAAAGATGGGTTTATACGTAGAAAAAAGGAAACGTATTCCAAATTTCGCTTAGTGTAAAACTACTTGAAAACCAACTCATGAGGTCGCAATAGGAATAACTCAAGGAAAACAGGATTGTATTTTTAAAGAAATGATTAAGAACAACTTGAACAAGCAAATCAATTGAGTGCATCAGTGTGGATACTCTAAGAGAGAAAACAGCAAAAGAATGTATTATATTTTAGAAAATCCAAATTCTCTCATAAAGGATTATGATTAATAAAACATATTTAGGCCTATTGCCAACTGTAAACTAAGTCATTATTTTACAAAATTAGTCAGCAGTAACATTTAATTAACCAATACATCCTTTACACACTGTCATACTGGTTTCATGGTGTTCAAGCATCTTTATGATGCATTTCACTTGCCTTTACATTCTTTTCTTTGACTGCACTCTAACTCATATGCTTCCTGGGTGACAGGACGAGGGGAAATCGCCTCAAGTTGCACAAGGGAAAGTTTAGGTTGGATATCAGGAAACAATTCCTTACAGAAAGGATTGTTAAGCACTGGAATAGGCTGCCCAGGGAGGTGGTTGATTCACCATCCCTAGATGTGTTTGGATGTGGTGCTCAGGGACACGATTTAGTGGAGGGTTGTTAGAGTTAGGGTAGTATGATTAGGTTGTGGTTGGACTTGATCCTTAAGGTCTTTTCCAACCTGAGCAATTCTATGATTCCATGTTTTGAGCTTAGTAATCGCATCACCACAATTAGTTACAGAAAGGAGCTTCTCTAATGTAATAAAAACTCTCAAAAAAAATTAAAAAATTAAGTCATGTAGATTATGTTCTAGGCTGTCAGAATATGTATGTATTATGTATAGTAAATAAAAGCAAAAAACTTTCTAGAAATGGGCTTTTATTAACCCAGAACAGCAAATTGGAAGACCATGACCAGGGAAACAAAATCCCAGGCAGCTCTGAACACCTGCAGGATTTGCTGCTTCAGCTGGTCTTCAGGACCCAACAAAATTTTTCTCCTTCAAGGACAAAGAGGCCACCCAGAGAGATCTTGATAAACTGGGCTGGGCAATCACTAACCACATGAAATTCAACAAGAGCAATTCTTTATCTGGGACAAGACAGTCCTGGATATGTATAGAGAGCGGGAAACAAGTTGGAGAGCAGTCCCACAGAAAGGGATCTTGAGGTTCTGGTTGTTGGAAACCAGAATCAGCAGTGTGCACTGGCAATCAAAAGAGCCAACCATGTCATGGACTACTAGGCAGGTGATGGAACGGACCACACCACTCTGCTCTCTGTCCGTGCAGCCTCACCTCAAGTCCTGTGTACAATTTAGGGCACAACAAAAGAAGAACATAAAACTGTTTTAAAGTGTCCAAAGGAGGGCTATGAAGATGGTGAAGGGTTTAGATAAGAAAACCTATGAGAAGCTGCTGAAATCCTATGGTTTGTTCAGCTTAGAGAAGAGGGACTGAAGAGAGGCCTCATGGAAGCCTACAACTTCCTCACTAGAGAAAGGGAAAGGCAGGAGCTGATCTCTTCTCTCTGGTGACAGTGGCAGGACCCACAGAAAAGGCATAGAACTGCATCAGAGGATGCTCATGCTGGATTATCAGGAAAACGTTCTTCACCAGAGGGTGGGCTGGGCATTGGAACAGGCTTCCCAGGGCAGAGGGCACGATCCCAATCTGCCAGAGTTCAAGTACTGACTGTAAATGCTCTCAGGTTTGAATTTTGGGTGGTCCTGCATGGAGACAGTAGTTAGACCTTGTGGATCCCTTCCAACCTGTGATACTCTATGATTCCATGATTTATCAAGGAAGTTTCCCAACAACCTTCTTTTTTGAAATTATACACATATACATTAAGCTTCAGATGGAGATAGGAGCAACAAAATGAATAGGTAGCTAACAGTGGAAATCTTCCAAAACAGCATTGGTTCAAGTAGTGTACAGACACAGAGAATATAGGACACTTTGTCTTGTTTATATAGTCACAACTAATGTCTGTCATTACTCGAATTCAGATACATGCAATTGCAGAAGCTGACATTTTATAGACTAAGTCATCATCCACCCAACATTAAGGCCAATTTAAATGACAGATGTTACTTACTTGTGCTGGTGGAGATTGCAAAGGATTGTTCTCAAGCAGCAGTACTTGTAACTGTGCCATCTTTCTAAAACAAATGGGAATCACAAGCACCTTATTGCAGGAAAAGTCAAACTTCACCAAGGGAAGCTGTACTAGTTCTAAAAACAATAGAAAAGACAAAAGGTATTATAGCTGTCGTGATTTTTTGTAATTAAATAATTTTTCTAAATAAACTTTTTTATTTGCGTCATCAGAAAAGAAAAAGAAGGACTATTATTCCTCAGGTAATAAAATACAGGACATAATATCCTCTTTCCTCCCCTCCCCCCTCTTTCTAAAAAATACAAATTCTGACAGGAATGTTTTGTTTTTCTGTATAGAACAGAGGAAAAGAATGTTAATGAAACACAAGTGACAACAGATTTTAAAACACTTAGAAGCAGCTGACAGTTATCTGCATTCACAGGTAAGCATCTGTGCAGCTTAAGATACCTAGAATCATAAAGATAATTAATTGAAGTCTTCAATGCTATTGTTTCCAGACACACAGTGAACTCAAATAGAAAACATTTCAACACCAGGTAGTTATTTTCTATTATTGCTTGCTCACACGATTAAAGACTTCCAAAATACCAAAAATCCTAATGCCTTTATTATAGATTTTTCAAAACTCATACCTTGGGGTAAAACTTCGAGGTAATTTCTTCTGACATTCAGTTCTTTTAAAGATTTCAGCAGGCCTATCTGTTGTGGCAAAGTTGTGATTTCATTGCAGCTGACATCCTACAGCAAAAGAAACAGAAATAATGAACTTTTGTCTGCAAAGTGAGAAATTGTAGCTTGTATGTTATTATCAGGGTAACATTTTATTGAACTGAAAACACACAACTATCAGCAGCTTGCCTTCAGTGGGCAAAGTGAGACATGAGAAAATATTTACATGTTATTCACAGCCCAGAGCAAATATTTATTCAGAAGTGAATTTTGAAAGTTAATTCTGTACAAACATTCAGAACAATTTGTTTAACACATTCTACCTCTTTGCTCACATATGTATTTCAGCAACATGATCATATAAACTGAAAACCGTTTGGATGATGTATAAAACTGTTACTGTGTGAATTTGAGTTTTAAAAAGATTCTTATAGAGAAAACACTAAAACAAAAGTTAAAAATAAATAGAAAACAGAAAAATGTCCAGAGAAGGCATGTATTCAATCAAATAGCAGGCCACACTAAAATAGAGCAGGCCTTGCTTGTAATTACAAGGTATTTAACATATTACTGTAACAGCTCATTCTTACAAGCCTAGACAGGTTCTAAGCAGGTCTGATTTTGAGGTCTAAATTCAGCTGGTTTTAGAGTGTTGGAACCAGTGGTCATTTTAGCATTTCCAAAGGAATAACCACTGTAAAGTTGAGCTAAGCTTAAGGTGTTGAATGTTGCTAAGCAAGTGAATATTATTTTAAGGAAGCAATTCCTATACACCAGCATTACTGTGAAGTATGATATTTTTATGATACTATCGCTATTAAGTTATCACAAAAAACTGCCATTAATCAGTTCTAAAAAAATAAAAATCAACTTATTGGATTAAGTCAGTCTAAAACAAGATAGTTATCACATATTAGCTATCCCTTTTACTGCCAAACTGTCTAAACCCAGTATGGAATCAGAAGGGCATTGAAACCTGTGGCTAAATGCCAGGTAATCTGTCAGTTTCAGTCACATTACTTTCTGAATAGAAAATAGAGAAAGCCCTGTATCATAAGAGAGCCAAGTGGGGTGTAATGCCAAATTTTCCCCAACAGATTAAGGGTAAAATCCTTATAAACCCCTTTCAGAGGGTTCATGGCCATTCTTGATTGTTTCAGACGATGGATTTGTACAGCACATGGGAGCTCTTCAACTACAGAATTCCTCAAAGTCAGTCAGACTTCCAAGTCATCTCCTTGAAGATGGCTGCTTTAATACTAGTGAAAAGCATTACATTAACTCTGTACCTTCGATTCTAAAAACTAGTTAATGCAAAACAACAGTAATAGCAAGATCTGATCTGGCAATGTCATTCTTTTTATCAGATGTGTTTCTTCTCATCATCTCACTGTTGCCAAAATTTCCTTCCCTTGTCAAAACAGAGTCAGGAAATTTTAGCTTTAAGACTAAAGGAAATTAAAAACACCAGTTAACGAGTGCTTCTTTTATCCAAACTATGGTGCTGTTAATTGCAATGTCCCCAGATCATTTATTTTTAAAGCTTTACTGTCCTATTTTCAATTTACGAACTTTAAGTGAGTTTATTATTAGACACTCATCTTTAGAGCAAAAAATTGAAATTCAAAGTCACCTTGTGGTAGAGAAACTCTAGATCAAGTACACTTACATGCACATCAGAACAAGTAAGGGAAAAAGAGTTTTAAAGGAAGTGCAAAAGGAATGTCTGACAGTGCGGAGCCTCAAAGCATCCACTAAAAGACTAATCTCTTATGACAGCCATGTCAGTGTTCACCAGAGCTCTGCAGACAGCTGTATCCTACTAATCTAACTTCAGATATATATTTTTTACTACTATGCATAACTAGAGAGACCTACTATATTATTTCTAGTTATACTTACTATACTTTATGAGTATATATGTGACAGTTTTTACCTTAAACTTTCCAATTACTTTGGTTATATTGCTTTCATTATTGCCAAAGTCAAATGCCTGTGTCTTTCAAGCCAATTACATTTTTGGAGAAATGTGGCAATTAGCAGTTTGGAACTTCATTTGATGGGCATCCACAGGCAGTTGAAATCAAGTCCAAACTACTATTCAGGTTACAGGGCTAGTCTTTGCTGGAGGTCAGACTTCTTGCATTAACATCATTATGTCCTCATTGGTTATTTGCTAGCATGACAACATGGATAATTTCTCACAATTAGAGAAAAGTAAGGCTCCCTGAAATTTAACAGCAACTTCTGTGGCACGCAGCTCAATGCCTTTAAGACAACTATCGGACTACACAGAAGAACCCTACCCTACAATTTAAAAGAAAATGTAAAAATTAACATTACTTAATGTACCAGTCATTCAATGTCACAGCTACTAAATACTTCTAAACATAAAAATGTAATAAAAAAAGAGAAGGAAGAAAACAATTATTTGGGAAGACCTGACTTAACCTGCAGCATAACTGCTGTTACCTTTCCAGAGTGACCACAGAAGTAAAACCTGTTTCAAAAGTTAGATTGAAAAAGAAAAACCATTTGCTATGTACATTCAGATTTATTGCAAGCAGCCCAGGAAAAGATGTAAAACACTGAAAATCTGATGCTTCCCAAAGTGCTGGAAAACCAAGAACCAAATGCAGGCAGTTGGTGTCTGCTACCTCTCAGGACTGATCCCTTGGGCCAGGCCAGCATCAGCATTGTGTGTGTCCCAAAACAAGAGCATGCCCTGCCAAGGAGCTGCCTGGTAGTGTCACCTGCATGTTATTCAGGCTGGCATTGCTCTCACACAGCTGAACATTTCATGCAACAACAACTGCAGCATGATCTAATCTTTTTTTTCCCCTCTATTCGTTCTAGAATAACAACCACTTTATTATCTAAGCTGCATGATGGTAAATATAACTATCCAGATACAGCTCTCAATTCAGTGCTTCATCCCAGTCATTTCGAGCTCAATAATGCAACTTATTTCATTGGAAATGTTCAAAGTACTCACGGTAGAACCAACCTAAATAATGAGGGCATCTGAACCAAAGTACACCTAATCTAACAAGAATTATTATTCACTCCTTCAGTTTAACAGTTTAAGAGTTCTGTCCAGTCATTCTATGCCCTAAGTTAGGATGTGTTTAGTACTGCTCAGCCATAAATAAGACTGGACCTATAATTTCTTACTGAACCTATTTTAAGCACAATAGAAGCAATACTACAGCCTGACATGTTTTTGAAGGTAATTCAATCAAAACAATTTCAGTAACCTGATTAAATCCCTTAAGAAAAGTACTTCAAACTGCTAGAAAAATTATTAATACTTACTAAGAATCAGTAAACAGTAATAGAACAAAACTGGCAGTGTTTAACTTGGGCATAAAAGGTAACTTCTTCCCTCCCCAAACCAGATTCATTACAATAAATAGTATAAGCCTGATACAACAAAGTGTTGTACTGGAAAAAAATGGAAGAAAGGAGAAAGCCCCATAGTTGTTGCTTCACATATGAGGACTCAGGACCAGCACTGGCTCCTAAAGCAAGGTTAGCTCAAAAGAATTCAGTGGAGAAATCATTATTATAAAAATGTCAATATGATAAGCAGGTACTTTCTGATAGCAACAAGATGCACAAGATAAGTGCAGCCAATGGTGATATCAGCAGCTGGGAGAAAGTTCACATTTCATTGTTTTGCTCTGCATAAACTGGCAGTTTGTTTATGAGAAATTGTTTGTTTTCCAATTGAGAGGTCAAGGTGAACAGAAACAATCACAAGGCATTACACATGTGCCAGAGAGAGTTCAGGAAGCATACAACATAAAAAGATGTAGATAAAAGGAGGAGGAAAGGGAAGCACTCATATACATAATTTCATACACATAATTTTAGAAAGCATATATAGCTAAATAAATTTTAAGTTATGTATCAAATAATTTCTGCACTTCCTGATTCTCATTTGTTAGACAATGTATTGTAGATGCAAAACTACTGCATGCAGAAATAGTAGTCATCCAGTCAGCTTTGAAAAACTGAGAGGAATATAGCCTGTAAATCTGTTTAGACAGATGTTTGAGCAAAGTTGCATGACAAAAATAGTGAAACAAAATGCAAACAGACTGCTAAGATCAGTTTCATTAGCAGAATGCAGCGTGGTAAGCAGACAGCACTGGGAGAAGGGAAGAAGAGAGGTGGTATTGGATGACAGTACAGCTTTGCAGAACCTGATGCCAGAACCAGAAACACAGCAAAACAAGGTGCCAGAGCATGTATTCAGCACAACAGGTAAAGAAATTAAACATACAAGCTGAGTTTTGAATGAACAAAGGCAACAATGTTACTTAGAATAGTCCTGAAGAGCAAAAAAAGGGAATTACTGTTACTACTCAATACACTTCAGAAGTCAAATTATATTATATGGCATTATAGGAGGCATTTGTTCCAACACCTCTGCAAAGAGTATTTTATTGATTCTAGTTAGATACAAATAAAAACAAAATAGCAAAATTAGTAACATACCAGTTCCATTAACTGCTTTAGCTGACCTATCTCTTCTGGAAGGGAACCTAGCTTATTGTTGCTTGCAATTAAGACTTTCAGAGGAAGACCACACAGGCAAGCTGGCAAAGAAGAAAGTTGATTTCGACTGCAACAAAACAAAGAAAGAAAACAACCATTAAGAACACCAATGACATTCTACTGCACACTTGCATGAAGTTTTAGTTGTATGACTCCTACATTCTGATGGGTCAGACTTCTTGCAGATAACATGCAAGTTTTGGAATTGCAATCTTTAGGAAAACATTTGTAGATCATAAATACCTGCAATTACTGACTAAACAGTCAGTGGAGAATCACCACTCTGGAAAAAAAAAATGTATCACTTCAACAACAATTTAAAAGTGATTTTCATCTACAATAGCTGCTTCCCCTCCTAACGGACACCACAAACTCAGTTGAGGCAGTACTTAGCAGGTATTTCAATATTCCTATGTTTTCTCTACAGTCTACTCTATATGGCTTTTGGTTAAACTGAAAACCAACAAAAAAGAATTCCAGATTAACTGGCTATTTTCCCAATTCCTTTTATAGTACATTCAGAGTTGAAGATCACTTTGCACTTGTTGCTATTCCTCCAACCTCACAGACATCCCAAACTTAGTGGTGAACATTTTTGTAAGGAATCAAAGTCTGGAAGAAAAAAAAATATACTCTTTTTAAATGCATCCTTTTTGCTTCTGATCTGCTTCCTATTCACTGGTTAATGAATATAAGCCACAACATTATTCCTCTCTTAATTTGATAGAAGGCAGCCAGGCAACAATTCAATTTAGCATCAATTCATAAAAATTGCTATTACATATCACCGTATTCTGACTATCTAACAAACATTTCACTCTACTGGGAACAACTTAATTTTTCATCTTGAAAATGGGAAAACCAAAGAACAAGAAAAACGTACATCTTTAGTATCTCACAAAGTTCATTGAAGTGTTAAAAGAACAAGTAAAAACACCTACTTCCCAGCCCTGTAACCTATAGACAACATACTTCAAAATATTTTCCTTCATCATTTGAAAACAAACAAACAAACAAACAAACAAACAAAAAAGGGTAGATTGCAACAATCTTACGCTACAAGACAGTGCAAAATGGTGCAAAAGAACTTCTTCATGGTAAAGGTGACAGAGCACTGGAATAAGTTGCCCAGAGAGGTTGTAGAGCCTCCTTCTATGGAGATATTCAAGAAATGTATGGATGCCTACCTGTGTGACCTATTGTAGGGTACCTGCTTTAGCAGGAGGGTCAGACTCTATGATTTCTTGAGGTCACTTCCAACCCTTGCATTTCTATGATTCTGTGACACTAAAAATGATTTATTTTAACTGCATGGGAAAACATTTCAGATGATTACTCCCAGATGTTGATTAAGTCATACAACAAAAATAAGACTTTCATAGGGAGCTTTTTCATCAGCGATATTTTGGGACTCACAGGAGAGTATGAGGAACAGCATTCTGTAACAAGGAGAATACAGGACCTAATCTCTAAGAATCACAGAATCACAGAATCACCCGGGTTGGAAGGGACCTCAAGGATCATGTAGTTCCAACCCCCCTGCCTAGCAGGGCCACCAAACATACACATTCAGATCAGGTTGCCCAGGACCCCGTCCAACCTGGCCTTAAACACATCCAAGGACGGGGCATCCACAACCTCCCTGGGCAGCCCGTTCCAGGGCCTAACCACTCTCCTTGTATAGAACTTCCCCCTAACATCCAACCTAAATCTTCCCTCCTTCAACTTGGATCCATTTCCCCTAGTCCTGCTGTTGTCAGCCCTTTGGAAGAGTTTACTCCCCTCGTGGGTGTAGGTTCCCTTCAGGTATTGATAGGCTGCAATGAGGTCACCCCGCAGCCTTCTCTTCTCCAGGCTGAACAAGCCCAACTCCCTCAGCCTGTCCTCATAGGGGAGGTGCTCCAGCCCCCTGATCATCTTAGTCGCCCTCCTCTGGACCCTTTCCAAAATCTCCATGTCTTTCTTGTACTGAGGGCTCCACACCTGGACAGAGTACGGTCATGCCATATATTTCTTTATTCAAATTAGAGCCTAACAAAACAAGATCAGCTCCAAATCACTCACAGGCTTTCCTGAACACCAGTGAGACACCTCTGCCAAGCACATTGCTTAAAAACAATTTCCTTAAATAAAACTCGTATATAGTTTTGGTGCTTTTGTGGATACCACTCATCTCTTGGCATTACTTTCTAACTCGGTTTAACATCTGAGCTTTCCTGGTACGAGACACAAAAATACTCATTTTAGATTGGCTGCCTTTTTCTTGCCAGGAAGAAACATGGCTACAAAATCAATCTCTCTTCTACAGATTGCTTGCTGTGTTCAACTTGTATTGAGGAAGGTCATATCCAAGCAAAGAGAAAATTATTTCAGGAGATTTTAAGCTGAGGGAAATATCTTTAATTAGTAAAACTTGTAAATTTTCCATTTGTTTAGAATGCCCAACCTTAATGTGATATCTGATAGCAACTTTTGAGTATTCTGGGTTTGCAATGACTCACATTCCATCACTACACTGAGATAATTCATTCTAACTCATAAATTCATGAAGATGTTCTATGCAAATTTGATTTCACCCCATCTTAATTTCTTTATGCAGATCTAACTGTAACACTACTTCAAATTTACAAGTCCTACTCCTGACGTGTGTGCATGTAGCAGGGTAGTATGTGTAGGGTAGTATGGTTAGGTCGTGGTTGGACTGAATGATCTTTAAGGTCTTTTCCAACCTGAGTGATTCTGTGATTCTATGTACTCAGGACACGCTATTCTGTTTCAGTTTTTAAAACCAAAATTAGAATTCCATTGTACATGAACCTCATTCTTAAATCCCATATTATTATATGTTCATCATTACAGTTTCTACATATACTCAACTGCAAATATACCTCCGTGCCTTGTCCCAGATGAAAAAGTGCTGACATATATCCTCTCAAAAGCAAAAAAAACCCCATTCAGTTGCACTTTAACCAATAGACATTCTCAATATTGATTAGTATTCATGAACAGTTTTCCTGGAAAAGAGACAGAAGTGTCTAATTCTCTGTCACTTCTTCCTAAAAAAGGTAGCAATTACAAGTGTGTCATAAGAGGAGGATATTAGTGATAAAAATCACACTTTTCCTGTCCATTTCCCTTGAGGAAAGCCTTGATCCTCTGTCCCTACAATAAGCACACCTAACTTCACAAAATTTATTAAGTCGCAATGAAAAGAATCCAACCATGCTGTTTCAATTAGCATTCTTAATTTGTTCAAAGAATAAGCGAAAGGATACATGTTACTTAGTCCATCCTTAAATAACTAAGTTTTTCATTTTAGCCTTTACAATGTCTTCATATAGAGAGCTGCATCTACAAGCAATGACTTTTTTTGCATTACAGTTTGCAATGAAAAGAAAAATGTAGTCAACTGTGCCAAGAACACAAAGTACAGACAAAAACTCCTGACACGTTTGCAATTAAACAGAAAACATAGTAGACAAACTTACCTCAAATTTAAGTAAGTTAGCATTCGTAAGTTCACTATGGCATCTGGAATAATTTTAATACAGTTGTGGTATAGATTTAGTGTTTCCAGTGACACAAAATGGCACAACTCCGTAGGAATCTCTGTTAATCTGTTCTTTGATAGATCTGAAAAGAGAAAGAGAGAAAACATTTTTTTAACCATCAGAAATACACATATTGAAAAACCATGCTTATTTATTAATATAAGGAAATAAATATAATCCTAAAGCCAGACAACAAATAAAGCCAATATTTTATTAAACAAAATAAAACTAGCCCTAACCTTTAGAACTTTGAAATGGAACAGAGTGTATATAAAAGAGCAAACATTCAATTAAAATTTATTTGGTCTAATAAAAAGTAATTATTTGCAGGATTCAATATGCTGAGAAAATGCTTGAAACCACAACCCAGTAAATACTCCAAAGCTCAAATATTATGTCTCAAGACTGATGCACAAATTTGCAAGAACCACCATGTTCTATCATCAGAAACAACACAAAAGTCATTCATACAATCAGACTGATCTGGAGAATGATCATCTCTTTAAGTGGAAGGAACAGGAATATGCCTGAGCAAAGCAAACAAACAACAACAACAACAACAACAACAAAAGGTGTCTGATAGAAAGGATACAAGGAAAACGGATCTTGTTGATCCCCTCGTATCTTGCCACTAGCTCAAGCTTCCTCCCTGCTCCTTCAGTGCTTCTTCTGAAGCTTACTTTCTTTAACTGCAAGAAGGTGAAGGATCCAAAGTTTAGCAGACACACCTCTAGAGCATCTCATCTTTTCAGGACCATAAAAATAATTTTGCTTTTGTGAACAAACTGGCAGAAGCTTGAAAATCTTCTTAATAATTTTGCCATGTTGGGCTCAGTTTGCTGTACAAAGGTACAGTTTCAGCTCAAAACTATTGCCACTAGGAAAGTGTTACCACTTTTGGCGTTGTTCCTGTTTCCTGCAACACAAGCTGCAGTTCATCACTCTTCATTCCCCCCGTCAGCCTCCACTTTGCTTCACTTCCATCAATAACCAGTCTCACTACTCCAAACTTGACCAAGATAACAGCAACGGCCAACAAGTGCACGAAGGGAGAGCAGTCCTGCTAACTCAAATGGTAAATGGATGAATTGAGCACCTCTGTCAAAATTATTCATCTGTAAGTTCCTATACAACAGCAATGCTTGAAATGCTCTGCTTTGTCTTAGGAGACTGATGGTGGTTAGATGCAGCATTACCTCTGTTTCTACTTTCCTTCGCTGCTGCAATCAAAGAGATAGGAAATCTGTGAATGCCACCCTTTCTTTAAAGTGGAAGAAAGGTCTTCAGTGATCCTCTGTTTCAGTGCTTAATCCTCTCGTGTTGTCCGTTTGCCAAGTAGCATGGCATTCCAAAAAGAAACTGAACGCAGGTTCCCTACCCTGCTGCCATAATAGCTGATAATAAATACAGCTAACAACAGAAGACTGACATGTTATGACTAAGAATTGTGCAACAGATCTTCCTACTGTACAATCTGGTCTCAAAGAAAATCTTCCCCGTTTTTAAGCCACACTTTCCGTAGTGACATCCCCACACCATTGCTATCATTTAATCCAGAGCAGGGATGGAGCAGGGTGGTTCTGAAGAGTCAACTGGAACTCAGCCCTAGGCTGAAGAGTACCTCTAGGAACCTGGGTGGCACGCGAGGAGTGGCCTCTCACCTTTGCTTTGATCCTCTGGAAGTAATACACATAGCTAAGACTGGGAACACAACAGTGTTACTTCTCTCTGTGCTACTAAAGCTGCAGCCTACCATCCAGGCCCCAGCTTCAATTCTGTTCTCATTTCCTTTCACATCAGATAAAATGATCTGTTGACACTACTTTTCCCTTATCCCAGAAAAAATCTTGGACTTCCAAGAAATGGAAGAGCATCTAGATTGATCCCATTCCTCTGACAGACATTAAAGACATTAAAGTCAAATTATTTATTATTATTTTTATTACAATTTTTACATTTTAAAAATTGTTCTTAATGCTATCCTTTGTTCTCAAGGGCTTCAAGACTGTTAATGTGAAGAAGGATAAAACAAAATACCCACAGATGATAGCAAACAAAATCCTCCCTGTTATCCCTCAGGACACTAGGGTGTTGGACACAATGTGTATACAACAAAGGAATTCAATTAACTTACAACAAAGGAAGTCCATTATTTATTATTGTCAAGTTATCACAGGTTTTAGTTCATTTCAACAGTATTATATCTCCTGTTGCTTCCTAAACAATAATAAGAAAAGAATTATATTTGCTGAGTAAGGTGGAGAGGTTGTGGTCTCCTCTGGAGAGATGCAAAACCTGCCTGTGTGATTTCCTGTGGAACATACTGTAGGAAACATGGGGCTGGATTCTCTGATTTCCAGAGGTCCTTTCCAAGCCCTACGACTCCGACTCTGTGAAAAGCTGTATGTTTTATTTATTACTCTTACTTAATACTCGGTTAGCTTTATTCAATCAAAAATGGAGCCTCTGTACATGATACAGGTGAGAAGAAAGCCTGGCAACTTCTAGGTACCTTTAAAAATTCCAAGAAGAAAAGCACATCTTTTCAATGCTGAAAAGTAAAGGAAACATTCTGCAAATAAACTCGATACTGTATCTCAGCATTAACATATGTATACATTTACACAAACTTCTGAAAGTTACATAATTAGTTTGATGTTACTTACACCAAGGTACTTCTGATTCTTTTGATAGTAATAGGACAAGGGGGAATCATAGAATCACGAGGTTGGAAAGGACCTACAAAATCATGTAGTCCAACCATCCTCCCATCACCTCTGCTACCACAAGCACTAAACCAAATCTCACAGCTCCTCATCCAGGCACCTCTTGAACACTGCCAGGGACGGCGCCTCCACCACCTCCCTGGGCAGCCATTGCAGTGCCTGACCACTCTGAGAGAAAAAGTTCTTCTTTAAGTCTAAGAATGGTTTTAAGCTGAGACGGGAGATTTGGTTAGATATTAGAAGGAAGTTTTTCACACAGAGGGTGGTGATGCACTGGAACAGGTTGCCCAAGGAGGCTGTGGATGCCCCATCCCTGGAGGCATTCAAGGCCAGGCTGGATGTGGCTCTGGGCAGCCTGGTCTGCTGGTTGGTGACCCTGCACACAGCAGGGGGTTGAAACTGGATGAGCACTGTGGTCTTTTTCAACCCAGGCCATTCTGTGATTCTATGATTCTCTAAGTATTGCACCTGACAGTTAGTCTTAACATATTTCAGGTATGTTCTGATACTTAAGATTTAAATTATAATAGAAATGATTTGTCATTGCTGAGCCTGAACAAAACTGCACAGTCCTTGGAACTGTATGAGAAAAAACAGTGTTTGCATTTTGTTTCTGTCACAATTCAAAACATTTTCAGAAAGTTTTTGAAAATGTTTTATTGGGTTCATTAACTCCAGGAAAGAGAAGAATGCAGAAACTATTATACAACAGCTTTTGAAAACATTTTTAAAATACAGAAGTAGTTGGCAAATCTGTGTTTTTGGGTTTTTTTTCACTGTATATTTTTTTCAACTGCATATTTCCAAATCACGAAGCTGCACAACACCCTTGCTTCATTAATTAAAAAACCACCTCAGGGCAACTAAAAATAATGCCATTATTGCAGAGACTTGCTTTTGCTACAGAAATAGAACGAAACAGACAAATAGGACTTGGGAGACTTTAAAGGAGTTTTGACTAAGCTGATTCCAGCTTCTAATCCACAAAGTAATGAATCCACTGTGGTACATTAATGGTCACTAAAACTACACATGGGTTTAGCTCGAGGTGACTACTTCCTGTTATTCCAGTATGGAACAGGCAACACAAACACAGACAAATAGCCCAGCAGTGGTAAGGGCACCAGAGCAAGCTTTGTGTGTTTCACATGGAATACACTATTCATTCAGTATTTTATTTCAAACACCATTTGGCTTTATTTCATCTCTTCCTGCCAAAAACAAGTTTGTTAAAACTCTCAAATAAAAGAATGGAACACAAAAAAATAAGCAAATAAGCTAAGAAAAATATCAAACGGATTCGTGATCTTTAAAAAAAAAAATCACTCCAATTTTGGAGCAACGACACTGCTTTTGTACAAAGAAATGTTACTATGTTGGAAGCTGGACAGGAACTACACGAAACGAGCACTTCCTCAGCTGGAAGCAAACAATGAAAAGCAAAATTTGAGGCCAGTAAGGAGCAACTCACAGCTGGCTCCAAGCCATGTTTGGGGACTGGGCACGAGGCTCCAGGCTGTCAGCAGAGCAGAGATTGCTGAGCCCACCTTCAGGACATAAGCTTGCAGTTCTTGGAGCCCCAGTGAAATCCCACTGCTGGCCACAACCTTTGCAACTGATTTGTTGAGTAGCCAGTAGATCATACAGAGCTATAAGGCTAGTTATCCATTAAATACATATGCCTGTGCACTTCTACGTCACAAATCTTTGCTTAGTTTTTTAAAGAACGCAGTTTCTTAAAAAACAGTGATTTAAAATGTTCAGATTATAGAAAAATACATTATAAAACTGTATTTATTAAAAAAAAAAAAAAAAAAAAAAACAACCTTCCAAAGGCCCAAGTTGGAATTGAGAATCTGTCCACAACTGAGCACGAAAAAAATAGACATTTATTTGAAATAGAAGAAGACACTTAGATATGGAGTTTTAAAATTGAGAAATTGAATGGTAAAAAATAAAAAATAGAAATAAAAAAAAATCACCCAAACAACCTTTACTAGAGCCCACCAAGTTCCTTTTTTTGTAGTCTTCAGCTCTTGCCAAACAAACAACAGGAATTATTTTGAAGAAGGTATTTGCATTTGTACTAAGATGCCATTCAAGGTATTCGAATGAGATGTCTGAACTGGATTGACAAAAAAAAAAAAAAAAAAAAAAAAGATTGACAAAAAATGTAAGTAATACATTGCATGAGCTTTAAAAAAAACACCAACACAGTAAATTCAACTCCAACTTCAGAGGAAAGTTATGCAAGAAAAAACACTGGGAAATGCATTTTAAAAAGGCATATATAACACACAATACAACCATATGGAGCCTTATCATTTTTACCATTCCCATGTTTTCAGCTGTCTTT